AAATGGATAAATTCCTGGAAACATAACCTATCAAAACCGAAACAGGAAGAAATAGAAAATTTGAACAGACTTACCAGCGAAGGAGTTGAATCAGTAATCAAAAAACTCCCAGTAAACAAAAGTCCAGGACTAGATGCCTTCACAGGCAAATTCTATCAAACATTTAGAGAAGAATTAACCTATTCTTCTCAGACTATTCCAAAAAATAGAAGTGGAAAGAAAACTTCTAAATTTATTCTTATAAGGCCAGCATTATACTCATACCCAAACCAGACAAAGACAAAACAAAATGGAACTATTGGCCAGAATTTTTGATGAGCATAACTGCAAAAATCTTCAACAAAGTACTAGTAAACTAAATATAACAATACATCAAAGAATCATTCACCATGATCAAGTGGAATTTATTCTTGGGATACACAGGTGGTTCAATATTCTCAAATCTATCAATGTGACACATCACATCAATAAGAGAAAAAAGAAAAACCATATGATCATTTCAATAGATACAGAAAAAGTATTTGCCAAAATACAACATCTATTAATGATAAAAACCCTCAACAAAGTAGGGTTAGAGAGAACACACTTTAACGTAATAAAGGCCATATAGGAAAAACCCACAGCGAAGGTCATACTCAATGGTGAAAAACTGAAGAGTTTTCTCCCTAAGATCAGGAACAAAAGACAAGGATGTCCACTCTTGCTACTTTTATTCAACATAGTACTGGAAGTCTTAGCTATAGCAATCAGACAAAGAAATAAAAGGCATCCAAATTGGCCACAAAAAAGCAAAACGTTCACTATTTGCAGATGACATGATACCATATACAGAAAACCCTAAAGACTCCCAAAAGAACCACTAGAACAGATAAGTGAATTCAGTAAGGTCACAGGATACAAAATCAACATACAAAAATCTGTTGCATTTCTATACACTGAAGATGAAACAGCAGAAAAAGAAAGTAAGAAACCAATCCTATTTATAATTCCACTCAAAATAGCAAGATCCCTAAGAATAAACTTAAGTGGGTGAAAAACTTGGTATTCTTAAAAGTATAAAACAGTGGTGAGAGAAATTGAAGATGCCACAAACAAATGGAAAGATACTCCAGGTCATGGATAGGAGAATAAATATTGTTAAAATATCCATACTGCCTGAAGCAATCTATAGATTTGGAACCCTTATCAAAATACCAATGGCATTTTGTCACAGAACTAGAACAAACAATCCTAAAATTTGTGTGGAATCACAAAAAACCCCGAGTAGCCAAAGCAATTCTGAAAAAGAAGAGAAAACAGGAGGTATAACAATCCTAGATTTCAAGTTCTATTACAAAGCTGTAGTAGTCAAAACAATATGGTTCTGGCCCAAAAATAGACACATAGATCAATAGAACAAGATAGAGAGCCCAGAAATAAACCCATGGTTATATGGTCAATTAATCTTCGACAAACGAGGCAAGAACAACAAATAGTGTTGGGAAAACTGGAAAGCTACATGCAAAAAATGAACCTAGTCTACTTTCTTACACCAGACATGAACACAAACTCAAAATAGATTAAGGACTTAAATGTGAGGCTTGAAACAATAAAAATCCTAGAAGAGAGGACAGGTAGTAATTTCTCTGATATCAGCTATAGTGACAGCTATAGGACTAGATAAGTCGCCTAAGACAAGGGAAACAAAAACAAAAACAAACTATCAGGACTACATCAAAATAAAAAGCTTCTGCACAGTGAAGAAAACAGCAAAACCAGAAGACAACCTACTGAATGGGAGAAGATATGTGCATATCACATATCTGACAAAGGATTAGGATTCAAAATATATAAAGACCTTATAAACCTCAACACTCCAAAAATGACTAATCCAATTAAAAATGGGCAGAAGATATCAATAGGCATTTTTCCAGAGAGGACATCCAGATGGCCAACAGACATATGAAAAGATGCTCAACGTCATTGATAATCAGGGAAATGCAAATCAAAACCACAATGGGACACCATCTCATACCTGTCAGAATGGCTACAATCAAAACCACAAGAAATTAGTGTTGGCAAGGATGTAGAGAAAAAGGAATGCCTGTGCAGTGTGGGTGGGAATGCAAACTATGGAAGACAGTGTGGACGTTCCTCAAGAAAGTAAAAATAGACCTACCCTACAATCCAGTCACCATGCTACTGGGTATTTACCCTCAAAATACAAAAACACTAATTCAAAGGGGTACATGTATCCCTATGTTTATTGCAGCATTATTTACAATAGCCAAACTATGGAAGCATTTCAAGCGTCCGTTGATGAATGTATAAAGAAGATGTGGTGTATACATACAGTGTAATATTATTCAGCCATAAAAAAAGAATGGAATCTTGCCACCTGCAATGACATGGTTGGATCTAGAGTGTGTAAGGCTAAGTGAAATGAGTCAGAGAAAGACAAATGCCACATGATTTCACTCGTCTGTGGAATGTAGGAAGCAAAACAAATGAACCTAGGGGAAAAAAAGAGAGTCAAACCAAGAACCAGATTCTTAGCTCTAGAGAACAAGTCGATGGTGACCAGAGGGGAGGTGGGTGGGAGGATGAAAGACACAGGTGAAGTGGATTAAGAACACAGTTATCATCATGAACACTGAGTAATGTACAGAATTGTTGAATCACTATATTTTACACCTAAAAACGAATATAAGAGTATATGTTAATATAAAAAAAGTAAAAAATAAAGTGTATAGTTCATAGATTTCAACATATTGACAGAATTGTGCAAACATCGCCATGATGAAGTTGAGAACATTTTCTTTTTTTTCTTTCATAGTTTATTTTCCAGTTGGTTTCCGTATAACACCCAGTGCTCATCCCAACAGGTGTCCTCCTCCATGTCCATCACTCCCCCTTCCCCTCTCCCCTAAGCACTTCCTTCCCCCCTCCTCCAATCCCTAGGCAACCACTAATCTATTTTATGACTCTATAAATATACGTATTCTGGAAATTTCATGCAAATGGAATTATAACACATTTGGTCTTTGGTCTAACTTGGCTCTTTCACTTCATGTAACACTTATAAAGTTTATTCATGTTGTAACATGTATCAGTACTTCATTCTTTTTGTGGCTCAATAATACCCCATTGTGCAGATAGATCACATTTTATCTATCCACTCATTATTTGATGGACACTTGAGTTGTTTCCGTTTTTTGGCCAACACGAATAATGTGCTATGAACATCGATGTACACATTTGTGTGTGGATGTGTCTTGATTTCTTCTGCGAATGAGCCTAGGAGTAGAGCTGTCATATGGTAACTCTATGCTTCATTTTTTGAAGAACTGCCAAACCGTTTCTAAAGTACCCACACCATTTTATATTCCTACCCGCAATGTATGCGAGTCTCAGTTTCTCCATATCCTCTTATATCTACACTTGTTATTCTGTCTACTTTGTTATAGCCATCCTTATGGTTATAAAGTAGTATATTTTTATGGAGCTTGGTAACTTTCCGCTCAAAGAGATAAATGTTTGCTAAGTACCTAATATATACCACACACGGTGTTGTAAAAGACTTTAAAAATTGCATTAAGAACCCAGTTTCCTATAGAGATGACAAACAGGTGGCCTTTGAGCTGGGTCGTCCCGTCCCTTTTACAGTTCTTGCTCAGTAACCTCTTCTTTTGCTCTGTTTTGTCTTTCATTCATAGCTAAATACAATCTTTATGATGACGAGGAGTATGAACAGTGCTAGCGAAATACCTGTATGAAGCCAAAAGGGAATCTGCATATTCTTCAGTGTGACGAGAGATAATTAGACCCCGAGAGTTCTCAGATTCTCATCAGAATAGCCACACCACACTTCTGTCTACTTCCTGGGATGACATTTCTTTCTTCATTTTTCTGGCAAACTCCTTCTCATCCTTTGAGCACTAGATCAGAGGTCACCTCCTCTACAAGGCCGTCTTGATCTCCCCCAGGAAGTTGTGCTCCTTGAGTGCCTAGGACATATCTCTCACCCTTCTCTTTGTTTTCTCATCCCTTCCAAGCTTCTGTAGTTTCTTGGAGACAGGCATTACTCAATCCCTTAATACCTGGTATATTCTTGCTAAGTGACTACTTATTAAACCCACTTTTTTTTTTTTAAGCATCAACATGCATGATAATGAGAAACTAATGATTTACTTTGGAATGGATTGCTTTTATATTTTCTGTAAATTGTTAATTGCGAAACTTGCACAAGTGTTGTTGTTTTCTTTTAAAAATTTTTTGATGTTTACTTATTTTGAGAGAGAGAGAGAGAGAGAGACAGACAGAGCATGAGCAGGGGAAGGGCAGAGAGAGAGGGAGACACAGAATCAGAAGTAGGCTCCAGGCTCTGAGCTGTCAGCACAGAGCCTGATGTGGGGCTCGAACCCATGAGCGAGATAATGACCTGAGCCAAAGTTAGATGCTCAACCGACTGAGCCACCCAGGTACCTGCTACTGTTTTCCATATTACCTATGGCATTGCAGTTTTGTCATAATTTTAATACATATATGTGAGTTGTTTTGGCACCAATCCACCATTTCAGTATAGTTCAAATTCTAACCCACTGCTTTACAAAGACTTTGAACACATTGTGGTCGTAAATACAAAGGTCCTTCACAGTTACACCAGGTATTGAGCATAGCATCCTTTTAGTAGAAAAACGAGATGTTAATCTATTGATACCTGCAGTCCTTTAGACCAATAGTGAAAGGGTGCCCTGGAATGGCATTTTACCTATCAAATTTCAATCAGAAGTCACTGTCGTATAGCGGAAAGAGCATTTCTAAGGATAGAGTTGACCTTGGGCAAGCCACCAATGCTCTTTGGATTCCATTTCCCTCATCTGTGAAATGAAAGAGCTGGATGAGGTGACTTCAAAGGCCTCTTCCTGCTTTAACAGGCTAGAGTATATAAAAGGAAAAGTCACTACGTTAGCTTGTGATTTTTCATTCCAAGTTTAAGGTCTTTTTGTTTTAATAATTGATTCTTCGTTCCTCAAACGGACTCGTAAAACCACTACCCACAGTAAAATCTGACTCCAGCTGAATTGAGGTCAGAGCCTACTACGGAGAACTGGAGCTGTTGGAGATTTTTCATTTATCTACTGGAGGGGCTTCCTCCAAGTTTCTCCTTGAAGTCACTGCACTGCTGACAAAGGTAATTAAATCCAAATGTACTTTTCACCCAGCCTGCTTTTCCATAATAAAAATCAATAGTTCTTATCCATGTATGGACTACGATGATACATTTATCTCATCCAAGAAAGAGTATGTTAGGGATGTTAACTAAAGAAGTTAGGTTTGTGGCCACAGATTGGGGCTCTGGAGAGGAAGGAAGCACTGTGTACCAAATGAGGTGTGGGCTGTCGATCTTCCTCTGATACCCTGGGCGTTAGACTCACTACCGTGGGGTAGTGCGAACTCAGGATTAAGGGCCTTTGAGATGTTTGCAGCTGTGTTCTGTTTTCCTCTGTTGGAAGGTGAAGAGGATGTGAATTAAAGTGGCTTTCAGTGCTGTTGCTGTGTTTTATTAAACAGCAACATTGTACTCATTGTACTCAACTTCTTCCCCAAGGAAGCTCGTGGACTTTGGTTTGGCAAATGCCAGTTAATTTGTCAAAATGTTTGGATCCTTCGTGTAAACAAGATTAAGGCTCTGTCTATCCGCAGATACATTTTCTTGAGAAAGATGGCACCGGTCAAGCACTAGGTACTTTGGAGAAATGTGTGCTAGTGGCCATTTGCATGTTGGTTCTTTGACCCAGTGAGACCATATCTGCAGAGGAGCCTGAATGAAGCAGCAATTTTGAATTTTCATAAGTGGACATTCTTGGGAGCATTTTAGTTTTTCTGCAGGCTTTTGCTCTGGGCACTTTTGAAAAAGTTGAGGCACAGTGGGATTCTTCCTCTAGGTACTGAGCTCCCCAAGTCACTGTCAGTGGGGTTTGGGAAGCTGTGGGCTGAATGTGACCCCATCCAGAGCCCTCAGGGTTCTCCCGGCCATGACCACAAGTTCGAGCCCCACAGTCCTTGTTTGTTCCAAAAAGTCATCACCTGCACCCCTCCAGGTGATCGGTTAGCCCTGACCCTCCCGGACAGCCTCTGTCCCTGTGACTGCTGATCTCTCCCCCTCTCCCCAGGGAGGCGGGCACACTGGATCTCACCAGTGGTCTCCAGCCTCACTTTGTGCAGCCTGGAAGTCTCAGACCCACGACATCTTTTAGATGTTCCAAATAATGAAATAGGATATGTGTGAGCTGTGTTTTCACAGTACCATTCTAACCAGTCTTGTTTGTTTTGATCTGTGCGTGTGACCAGAGCACAGCTTTTCTGGTACGTAAACGTATCTGCTCCTCATATTGTGGGGATCTTACCTCAGTTAACCTGGATTTTTCTAGTCCTGCACTCGGGAAGCCAGATCTCCAAATCAGTTCTCCTTCCCATGTGATTGGTGATTTGATCTCTAATTCTTCCTCAGAATGGCATTAAGGTGTCTCTGGTTCTGGATGGTGTTCTTTCATACAAGAAAACAACAAACAGTTTGTGCAAAAAGTCTTTCACACCCACACACACTCACACACAGGGGAATGGAGGGTTTGTGTCTTCCATTCTCTAAATGAATTAAAGTGCTGTTTAGCTGACCTGTATTTGCATGTAAAGTTATAGGCCACTATGGAAGCCTTCTCTGGGGCTCCCTGAGCTAGGTTCTTTATATCTTGTATCACCTCATTCTTCTCCGCCACAACCCTGTAAGGCAGGTCCTACTAGCATTCCCATTTTACAAGTGAGAAAACTGAGGACCAGAGAGGTTGTAACTCACTCAGGTTCGCACAGCCAGGAAGTGTGTATCCAAACTGGCTCCAAGGTTGTGTGTTTAGTGACCGTTCTCACTACCTGTATATCTGCTGAATCCCTAAAAAACCTGGAGCCCTCTTTCTCCTCATCAGTTAACCTTCGCTTTCTGCAGGGGAGCCTGAGTCAGGGGACGCAGGAAGACAGCTGGTGTACAGACTTCTCCCTCCATCCTCATGATCCATTCATCTCTTTTGGCCAATCTCTTGCTTCCTAGCGCTTCCTGCAACCACTCGGATTTCTCTTTTGATGACTCTGCTTATTTTACTTTGAATGTATCACCAATTACGTCTTCCAAGGGGAATAGGGAGTGAGAAAATGACTTTTCTGGTGTTGAATCTAATTTCAGATGCTGGCAGCCTAACGGGAGGAGAGAAAAGAGTGCTGGGGTTGGTCACCGGATTCAGGAAGACAAATCACACTTCGTGACTCCACTTTAGACCTTTCCACTCTATGGAGACAACTTTTTTTTTAAAATGTTTATTTATATTTGAGAGAAAGAGAGAGAGAGAGGCAAAGTGTGAGTGGGGGAGGGGCAGAGAGAGAAGGAGACACAGATTCTGAAGCAGGCTCCAGGATCTGAACTGTCAGCACAGAGCCTAACTTGGGACTTGAACCCACGAACCGTGAGATCATGACCTGAGCTGAAGTCAGACACTTAACCGACTGAGCCACCCAGGCGCCCCTGGAGACAATTCTTTCAGAGGTCGCCAGTTAGATACGGAATCCTTCCCACCATGTGCCGGGCCCTGCACAGCATAGCAGCAATCAACAGTATTTCAGTTTGCAGCAGGGAAAACAAGTGTCAGTTCTGAAAGCTATCCACCTTTAATGCCTTTGCTAGTGCTTCACCTTTACCCAGTGACAGGACACCCACATAATCTAGCCCAAATGTCACCCATGGGGTCTTCATTGTTGCCCTTGTGTATTTCTATATTTTGCCTTATAATATGTATGACATTTTACCTACAATTGCAGTAATTAGTGTACCTGCCTCATCTCCCTAGTTAGACTGTGAGCTCTTGGAAAGTCAGTTTCAAATCTCCAGTACATACTATAGGGTTTAGTACTGGCCAGCTGCTCCAGGGATTGGAAACAGGGATTGAAATGGGAAAAGCCACGTTGTAACAAGTGTCTGATGGTATCCTTTCTTATGGGTATCCTCTTCATTCTCTATATCGCTCCCTTCTGCTGGTTTTAGGTAAAAGGACAGGTATTCAGGGAATAGAAATATGCCATTACTATGTCTCTAAATTTTAGTGTCTGTTCCTCCCCACCCCCCACTCACCAGTTGTGTCTGGATTATATTCACAAGGAAGATGGCACTGAATCACCTTCAACAGACATTTATTTTAGTTCTAAAATTGCTTTTACCAGTTGCTTTCAGTAGATATTTGTTCTGGAAAATGCCCTAGAGCTCATCATGTAATACATAGTTGGATAAAGAATAATATTTTATGACTCTTTAATTCTATGCTAAACTAGGTAGTTTGTAAGTTTTAATCTATGGCTTCATGACGAGGTTGAAATCTTCTAGGATCTTTGTAGGCTGTTTGGAAAAGGCACTGGGGACCTTCTATCTTCCCATTGACCCCTTCTGGGTGTTGTATCACCTCTGTGCTCATTTAGGGAGGCTGCATAATATAGCAAAAAGAGTCATGATAGCCTTTAGAGTCAGACTAAATATATGCTCCAACTGAGCCACTCAGGAATGTCACTCTGATCCTCAGTTTTTAAATCTGTAAAATGGAAAGTAAAATACTCACTGCATGTGGTGACACAATGATATGATGTGTTAAAAGTCACTGACAATGTCAAGTCAGTGCTCAATATAAGTTCCCTTCCTCCTAATCAGAACTAATATTATTCATTATGTAAAACACAAGAAATTCACCTGCTACATTTAAGCAGTAACATTTACATGGCCCATCATAATGCTGAGGAGGATTTATGTGAATGTAACACAAACTTTTTAAAATCCAAGTTTATCTTCTGCAGGTAGCGTTTTAATCTTTTATAAACTTTTCTATGGGTGCACATAAATCAGTGAATGTCTGGTTCTTCGCAGGAGAAAGTGGTGGGTATCATGAGTTGTTTCTCCTTAGTAGGGATCACAGCTTTAAATTGTATGATTGTGTATTTTTGCAAGACTTAACGTTTCTTCTACTCCTTTTCCAGCTTAATATTGTCAGTGAATACCAGTAACCATTAAGAAGCATAAGAGTGGGAATCGAAGCTTGAAAGAAGATTCAAAAAGAATAAAAGAAAAAAATGTTAATTTAAATATCTGGCTAATGTGAAAGTAAATAATGAGCCAACGCACTGAATTCCTTATTTTGGATGCTTTTGAAGGTAAACACTACGACATTAATCATTTAATAGATTATAGATAAGGGAAACCTGATTTCCTAGAGCTAAGCCAAGTCGGAGCATTTAAAAAATAGTTATCTTACCATCCAAAGTATAGTGTAACACAGCAATAGTATGAATTACTTTCATTTGCCAGCTACATATGTTTTCTGAGGCTGAAGTGAATTTTTAAAGAAAAATATAGAAAACAATCTGCCTTTGCTCTTTCATTTGAGAGATTTGGCAGTACGCTGGTGAAAGAGAAAATAGTGGAACTGGTATGAAAGCTATGAGAAAGCCACAGAGCCAGTGAGAAAAAGGACAGTGAGAAGATTCATTTCCCAGTTATGAGGACGCAGCTTCTTTTTAATGTTGGCAAAAATTAGTTACTATCATTAGTTCCAGCTCAAGTAACTTTGTCTAGAACCGTAGAATGTTAGGATGCTGGAAAACCATTCCTTGTTGTAACTGGTCAGAGCTAGAGGCCTATACTATGAGGATGAGCTGAATGTTTTATCCTGAGTTATCCTTGGAACTGGAGTGGGGTGCATAGGCTCTGTTCAGCCACACTGTATCCAGAATTTAGATAACTAAGAATTCTTGTAGTTTTGATGTGCTGTCACACACACACACACACACACACACACACACACACTCATGGTCCATTATTTATACACACACACTATGGAGGTCTTAAAGGGGTGGGGGAAGATCACTCTTTAATGAGAGTCTTCACCAAGGAAACGAAATAGAAGTTGGGTCTCGAATGATGCATACTCTTTAGTTACGCTGTTTTGTTGGGAAGGCTTTTCTTGGAGAGGGAGCAAAATCAACAAAGGTAAGAAGACGGGGAAGCACTTGGATATTTGGAACAAAATGTATTTAGAAATGGAAAAGCCATGATTTCATAAAATAAGAAGCTTCCAGGTTTGAATTTGTGAGTTGAGTGCTCAACGGTGTGTAGTGACAAACAACTTAAAGCCGCTGCGTTGGGGTGGCAGGTACAGGAGCCCTGATGTAGGCTCATGGAAAACGGAGGGCCCCGTGTTTCCTACGTGAAGACTGCTAATGCCACTCTCATCACTGTGAGGCTTCTGTTCTAGATCTCAGTGCTGCAGATTCAGGCAAAGCTGTAACACAGGTTATGATTATCTTTCGTTAACTCCATGTTTATGTTCTTCCCAGAGACTTCTTTTATTTTTCTTCCCCCTCATCAGACACCTGTTATTCTGTGATGGCTCTCCAGACCTGCTCTCTGGCTTGCCCACCTGACTCCATCCTTGTTAGCAAGAGCACATGTTGGGTGTTTGGTTACGAGCTTTAACTTGGGTGAGGCAGGCCACTGTGGGAAGCAGCTTGGCTGCTGGAGAGGAAAGGTGTGGCCATCCCCATCCCTCAAGAGACACCATCTTCTAGCTGGACATACATTTAGGGGGACACTGAGCATCCTCCTGGGGAGGAAGTCATACTCACAGTGGGCGCTGCGTGTCTCTCTCTGTCATGGGAGAGAGGCTGATCCTTCCTTGGGGTGAAGTTAATCTCCTGAGTGTGCTTGTTTTTTTGTGCCTCTCACATGCACTTCTCTGAGCCTGATGGTGGGAGGGAAAAGCTAAGAACCTGGAACGGGACTTGTCACCTTGAATACCCAGTGGTAATTGGATAACCAGAGTGCACTGTGCATTTGAGACCTATCTGATATTTGAGAGATTTTGGAATATAAATATTTTCCAGCTCTTTGTCTTGACAGACTGAGATGATTAATGATATGTGATGTCTAAGGAGAATAAAATGAGCAAGGCTAGAACACGTATAGTTTTTCTGACAGGGGACTTTTAAAAGGCATTAGAGAAGCATGAATATGTTTAACTGACACCCTGGGTTTTTGTCTTTCACCACGTATGACAAATAAGAGATCTCCCCATCTACTCTCCATAGCGCTCTCTGGGGAATAAAACCATTGAGCTCTGCCATGTCCATGGCTCAGGTGCGGAGTCCCGCTTACTTTTCACATCAAGTGGAGCTTTGGTTTCATTTATTTCATTGCGAGAACGGAAAAACTTGTGTTTGGAAAAGATTTCCTTCATTCGTTTAAGAGTCCCTTCTCCTTTAAAGTTAAGCTTGTTATTTTAAAAAGAGATAGATTTTCAAGACTTGCGAAAGAAAGTCTGACGTTTGCAGTTCTAGGACTGCTTTGGTGGAGAGTAAAATCTCTCATCTTTTGCGAGGAAACTTCATTAACCGGAGTAATAATCTTGGTGGAAAGGTTTTGAGGCACAGCCGGGTTCGTGGTTATTAGAGAGTAAGTGCCTCACAAGGCACTCGGCATTTTAGGTGGAGCTGGAAAGGACAGCAGCAGCACCTGGTAATTGTGGGGTTCCCCCGGTTATGAACTGAGCTCTCATTTTTAAACTTGGGAGAATACTCTAATACCCTATTTTAACTTGTTGCTTCTGGGTGGGATAAAGGAGACTCCTGAGGGCCAGGGTTCACCATGTTTCTTGATTATTAGTTCTTTCTCTCCTCCACCTGCAAAAAAAAGAGAAAGCTTTTGTAATATTTTCCTAGGGAGACTCTGAAACTCCTATGAGAACTTTCACATATTCCATTTATGCACCCGGACAATTTTGGGGTGCTTCTGGTTTGTTAGGTACTGTGTTAAGTGCTACAGGGGAAGCCAGAGGAACTGGGCACAGACCTGCCTTCAAATTACGTACAGGGTTGGAGGCGAGGAAGGGCGTGCACACCCAGGCACATCACACTTGGATAGCTCTCTACTTTATCCTGCATTGAGTTGGGCCCAAGGCAGCTGATCACTCAATGCTTTCTGGCTGATAGTTAACCAGAAGAAGTGGTAGACATCATCCTGTCCAATTCACCCATATCACAGCTGAGGAACCATATTCAGAGAGACCAACGACATGCCCGATGCAACACAGCTAGTTAGAGGCCAAGCTTCTAATTCCAAGTCTGATTCCAAGTCTGAGGAGTCTCTGCCTTCTCAAGAAGCTGCATTTTCTGGCTTCACTGCATAGGAACATACACTCCAGACTCGTAACCGGTCTTCATTCACTGACCTCCTTTGAGGGCTTTGCCAAAATTTAGTTAGCCTTTGGGGACGCGGGATTGGGTTAGTCCAAAGAGATCACACTTGGGTTTTTGTACTGTACGAAGTCCCGTTTCCAATATGTAACAATTTCCCCTGTCCTTCAGTTTTTCTTTATTTTACATCTCACATTTTTGTCTTCAGACATGGAATTGGTAAGAAGGTGGAGGATGTCAGTTTCAGAGCCTGCCAGCCCTGCTACCGAGTTCATTAACTCAGCATGTAAATAATGTAGTGGAGGCAGGAGGAGTATGAAGAGAGGAGGAGAAAGCATCTCAGGAAGTATAAGTATTTGCAATCACTTCCACATATCTTTTTGCCTTTAATTAAAAATCAGATTGAAATTACTTCTGGTTTAGAATTGATGTTTTTCATTGAGCACTTACTGCCAAATCCTCCAATTACAACCGATTTTTCCTACAGGCTCACAGTGGGTCTGAAGCTGGACTAATGAGTGTGAAGGAGAATTCTGACAACGGACACGCCTCGGCCCACTTGGAAGAATATGTTTTCTGTGTACGTATGTTTCCCCCAGTGTAACACAAGACCTGTATGTGGAAAATACCCAAAAGGCAGCTCCAAGGCACATTGGAAAAGTAGAAAAGGGGAAAAGCAACACTCTATTAGCTGTAACATTACACGGAATTTCTATTCATAGAGAAGGGGGAAAATGACCCTTTGGTTTCATCTTTTGTCAAAATAAACAACTGGCTTTGTTTTAAAATCAATGTTTCCTCTTTCAGAATTATTTTTTATTGAGGTACAATTGGCATATGACTTGACATTGGTTTCAGGTGTACAGCATATTGACTCTATATTTGTATACATTTCTTTATATATTATATAATGTACTTATTTATTTATTTTTTGAAAAGTTTATTTATTTATCATGAGAAAGAGAGAGAACACAAGCAGGGGATGGGCAGAGAGAGAGTGAGAGAGAATTCCAAGCAGGCTCTGCACTGCTAGCACAGAGCCTGATGTGGGGCTTGAACTCACTAACCTGTAAGATCATGATCTGAGCTGAAATCCAGAGTCAGACACATAACCGACTGAACTACCCAGGTGCCCCTGTATACATTTCTAAAGTTTATTAATTTTTAGGAATCTCTGCACCCAACGCAGGGCTTGAACTAATGACCCCAAGATCAAGAGTCACATGCTTTTCCAACTGAGCCATCCATGCAGCCCAATATTTATATACATTTCAAAATGGTCCTCGAGATTAGTCTAACTACCATCTGTCAACATACGAAGTTAAATTTTAGGATTTACTCCCTTGGCAACTTTCAAGTATGCTGTACAATATTACTGACTGTAGTTGCTATGCTGAATGACAGTCTCATGACTTATTTTATAACAGGAAGTTTGCACCTCTTGACCCCCTTCATCCATTTTGTTCACTCCTCTGGCAACCACCTTTGCCTTCTGGCAACGACCATTCTGTTCTTTATATCTATGATTTTTGTTTTGTTTTGTTTGCTCATTTGTTTTGTGTTTTAGATTCCACATGTAAGTGGAATCATGTGGTACGTGTCTTTCCGTGTCTGACTTATTTCATTTAGCAAAATTCACTTGAGGTCCATTCATGTTGTTGCAAATGGCAGGATTTCATTCTTTTCATGGTCAAGTAGTATTCCATCATACATATTACTGCATTTTTATCCATTTATCCTTTGACGGACATGTAGGTTGTTTCCATATTTTGGCTATCGTAATTCATGCTACGATGAACATAGGGATGCATGTATCTTTTTGAATTAGTGTTTTTGTTTTCTTTGGATAAATACTTGTCCGAGACCCTCTCTGGCCAGGTCCAGGGGTCCCTGAAGTATGGATGGTGTCGGCGAGGGAGGGATGAGAGAGGCCATGAGAATCTTTCTGGTCACCAGGCAGGCATCTCTGCTCTGACTGGGGCTCAACTTTATTTTATAATTAAATGTTTGGGGGACAGCACAGAAATGGCATTTGCCTTAGACAATGGTTTCTGATGACAAATTTCTTTGATATGTAAGAATTTCCCAGAACAGAGATTTGTAGAAGACTCATGCATAACCTTTATCAATAGTGATTGAGGTAGGGGATTTAGATGCTTATCCTATGGGGAAGGAAGGTATAAAGATACCTTGCATACAAGACAATGTTTTTAGCATAAAAAGGGTGAAGTTAGTTCTTTGTGAGCAGGGGTCAATAGCTTGTTTGTTGAAGGAGAAGTAATAAGAAAAACAGGTCTTTCAGGAAACACAAATGTTTGCTCCCATAATCACAAAAGAAGTTCCTACAATAGGTTCCTTCACAGGGTGTGATCAGCATATTCGAGGCCAGAATAAGACATTCCCAATACTGATCACAAATGCCTTGGGGGTCGATGCTCCAATCAGAAACAATTAGGTGGGGGTGGATATCTGTCCTTAACTCTAAATTAGGCTCTTTGTCTCGGGGCCAGGCTCAATTGTAACTCTTGTGTTCTTAACCACCTTTATTATCTAAGTCTTGGATCTGCAAGGCCCATAGGAAGAGCCTTTTGACAATCATCCACAGAGCTTTCATCTGAAGTCTCTTTGGAAAAGGCAGGAATATGCTTTTCCTTATGAGGAATCTGTGTGGGGAATATCGGTCTGATTTGGAATATTGTGAGGCCTGGTCAATACCGGCAGCCTCATTTCCAACATGAGCCAGTAGTAGCAGAAGGAGATACCAGTTTTGCTTCTCATGGCAGGAGCTGTACAAACACTGCCATTTCCTCGCTGTGACTGTCATCCAGCAAGGCCGGGGCGGCTCCCAGCAAATTGCTGGATCATGTGGTAGGCCTATTTTTAATTGCTTGAGGAACATCCATACTCTTTTCCAGAGTAGCTGCATCAATTTAATTCCCATCAACGGTGACCAAAGGCCCCCTTTTCTTTACATTCTCACCAACACTTCTTACTTCTTGTCATTTTGATAATAGCTATTCTAATAGGTGAGGTGATATCTTATTGTGGTTGATTTGCATTTCTCTGATGATGAGGGATGCTGAGAATCTTTTCATTTGCCTATTGGTCATCTGTATGTCTTCTTTGGAAAAGTGTTTATTCAGATCCTCTGCCCATTTAAAATCAGTTTCTTTGTTTTAGTATAGTTTTGCTATTGAGTTATATGAGTTCTTTACATATTTGGGATATTAATCCTTTATCAGATATATGATTTGCAAATATTTTCTTCCATTCAGTAGGTTGTCTTTTCATTTTGTTGATTTCCTTGGGTTTGCATAAGCTTTTTAGTTTGATGTAGTTCCATTTTATTTTTGTTTTTGTTGCCTTTGCTTTTCGACTCATATCCAAACACTGATTGCCAAGACTTATATCAAGTAGCTTACTGCCCATGTTTTCCTCTAGGAGTTTTATGGTTTCAGCTTTTATGTTCAAGTCTTTAATCCTTTTCAAGTTAATTTTTGGGTATGGTGTAAGATAGTGGTCTAGTTTCATTTTTTTGAATATGGCTGTCCAGTTCTCCCAACACCATTTATTGAATATTTCATCCTTTCTCCATTGTACATTTTTGCCTTCTTTGCTGTAAATTAACTGACCACATATGTGTGGGCCTCTTTCTGGGTTCTCTATTCTGTTCCATTGATCTATGTGTCTGTGTTTTTTTAATGTTTATTTTTTCAATGTTTATTTATTTTTAAGAGACTGAGCACGAGCAGGGGAGGGGCAGAGAGAGAGGGAGACAGAGAAACCAAAGCAGGCTCCAGGCTCTGAGCTGCCAACACAGAGCCTGACATGGTGCTTGAACTCACGAACCATGAGATCATGACCTGAGCCGAAGTTGGACGCTGAACTGATTGAGCCACCTACGCACCTTATGTGTCTCTTTTTATGCCAATACCATCCTGTTCTGATTACTATAACTTTGTAATAGAGTTTGATATCAGGGAGCATAATGTCTCCCAATTCATTCTTTCTTAAGATTGCTTTGGCTATTCAGGGTCTTTTGTGGTTCTATGCAAGTTTTAAGATTATTCATCATTTCTCTGTGAAAAACATAAGAGAATGTGCCAGAAGAGTGTATAAACTCTTTTGTGGGATGTTGTTTGGGCCACAGCAAGGCCAACAGAGAGCACAAGGAGAGTGTTTCCCTATGTTACCTGAGAGCGCCTGCCTGGTCTCTAGATGTGCAGCGAATCTGAAGTTTGACCCTCGGCTAAAGTTCTAGCATAAGTAAGTAGGCTTTTTTCACATGAAGACTGGGGCTGTGTTTCATTCTGCTGTCCTTGCAGGGCCCTAGAGTGGTAGCCTGCCGGGAGCTGTCTTTCTGATTGATGGTCCCATGGAGCCTAGGGATGCAAGCCCGATTGTCTACCTGGGCCAGGTGATCAAGGGCAACCCCTTCGTGGATTGTACTCACCTGCCGGCTTTAGTGAGGCAACCACAGAGTGAATGGGGTGGAACATGCCTGCAGGCTTTAGCTCGGAAGTGGGAGAATGTCATGACTGCCGGTGATGGCCGGCCGGCCCCAGCCAGGGGGCAGGGATATGCCACAATCCGTACTGTCTGGTTTCAGCAATGCAGCAGGATGGTGTCAAGACCACTTGACCCGACAGCCCTTAGCAAGGCAGTGGGTGGGTGTCACCTGCAGGTGTGCCTACTTGTGCTAGCAGGGTACGGGGAGAATTCAAAATGGCGTCTGCCAGTGCCTCTGTTTCCAGAGAGAGTCCCAACTGTCTCCTGCCCTTCGAGCAGATGTTTAAGATAAGCAAATAAATCTCCTTCATATATAGTCTGGGCACTTCTCAAACTGCTGATTTTGCACTGGGTCCCAGGATGACCACACGTGAGCTATTGAAAAGGAGAATCTCAGTTCCCTCCAGCACTTTGGTTCTCTTGGACATAAGTGCCATTGTTTTTTGAGGCCAGACATTTTAGGGGCTTGTCTTTCTGGTGCGGGTCCCAAGGACTGGGGACCCTGATTTGGGGCACAAACCCTTCACCCCTCAGAAGAAGCTCCAGGCATGTGAGATGCGTCTCTATTGCGTGGCGCCACTCCAATGGTATCTCAGCCTCTCCTGCCCTTCTTGATGTGTTCCTTTTATCCTTTGTTGTGGAGAACAGTTCTGTTAATTTCTAGTTCTTTCTCAGAGGGAATTACTCCATATGTAGCTGTAGATTTGGTATGTCTGTGGGAGGAGGTGAGTTCAAATTCTACTATCCCACTATCTTGGGACACCCCCTTCCATTTTCCTCTTTTATATTTAATCTCTTGAGCCATTAAAACTGTATCCAAAATGACAGAACAGGAACTAAAATAATACCATCAATAAATTACAATTACCTTGTGCAGTGGGTTTCATTTTGTTTCTGTTTTTGTTTTTACATCAATTCTTCAATGCTGTCTTGGGTGAAGTGATATGCAGAACTGAAATTCAACACCTTGCTATTTGAGAAGTTATTATAAGAACTACTTTTTCTGGGACACCTGGGTAGCTCAGTCAGTTGAGCATTCGACTCTTGAATTCAGCTCAGGTCATGATCCCATGGTTTGTGAGTTCAAGCCCCATGTTAGGCTCTGCATTGAAAGCATGGAGCCTGCTTGGGATTCTCTCTCCTTCTTTCTCTGCCCCTCATTCCCCTGTCAAAAATAAATAAATAAGCTTAAAAAAAAGAAATATTTTTCTTTCATTGTCTGAAGAAAACAGCTATCTAATTAGAGGAAAAGAATGTCCAGAGAATATTGTCAAATTATTGACTAAATAGGCCTTGGTTTCCTTCTGTCTTAACTCAACTTGTCCTCAGAGAGAAGAATGTCAATTTGAGTCTGTGGTGTAGGAAAGGCGTGGACATCTTTGATATAGCTTTCAATCCCCTTCCATTGACCCCACTTTCCTCGTTTCTTCCTGTTCTGTTCTTTGACAAGCTGCGACCTGGATTAGCAGAGTGACTTACTTGCAAGAAAGGAGAACCAAAGAAACAACTCATGGCCTCTGTTGCCCTTGGTTTTTTAGCTTTGGGAGGAACCTAGCAAAGTAGCTTCTGAAATGAGTTACACACCTAGAGAGACTTTGTTATCAGTATATCACTGCTACTGATTTCTGCCAAGGCAAATGCCCCAGACATATTTGTGTGTTTGATATCGCATATTTGGCAATTTGGTGAGCTAAGTCTTTTAAATAATTACATTTTGCTTTTGGTATTACCATTTTTGGTATTACCAAAATGTATAGAATTTGGAGCACAATCCCCTGAATGGCCAAACTCGATTTTAGGCCTCCCTTAGACGACCTCAAAGAGTTGGCTGAGAGGTTTTATGATAGGACAGAGGTGCACAAGACCGGTCAGGTGTGCGCTCACTCTGCACCACACCCGAGTTCATCAGTGAATCTTGTGGCAGGAAGAGAGGTGGCTTATCTCCAGGGCAAGAGGCTAATCAGCAATTCCTAAATATCCTGGCGTTTCAGGCCACCTGCTGCATGAAGACAAAGGAGCCCATGATAAGAAACACTTACGATGAGAAAAATGTTTTATATTGTGAGGGGGGGAAAATCAACAAAACTATTCTGAAGGCGCTAATGTTTTCTCTTTCCCTTCAGGTGGGGATTTGACCTTGGGAGTATTTTATCTGTTGACTGCTACGGAAAGCATACTGAATGGGCCAGAAGATTTTCAAGGGCCTACAATAAGGTTTGAAATTTTAAATTGCTTTGTTGCCTCCAAAACTAAAAACAAAACAAAACAAGAAAACAAAAACAAAAACAAAAACTCAATCCTGCAAAATTGAAATGAATAGTATTTAATTTAATCTTTAGAACATAATATTGTATCAAGTAGTTCACTGCAGCTCAACCTGTAAAGTTGTAAGTGATTTCCAGGACTTATTTTAATATGGTTGATATATTATGGAGGTGGAATCTCCAAAGTCAGAACTAAATTTCTCTAAGGCCTTAAAATTCTGTGTGTACATGTGTGTGGGAGGGGGGAAGAGTGGGGGATGGGGAGGAGTCACGGTGGCATAGGATATACTCGGGAGGGAATGAGCTCTGAGTGGAGCGAAAATTTCCTAAAATTATGGCCAAAATTAAAAGACTTGGTGTTAAATACGACAATTTCTGAGAAACACATACAGTTTCCAAAAGTGTTTCTAAAAACCGAATTGCATCCTTTTGGACAAAGACGACCACTTACTTTGGAAATGATCAATGGGATTAAACACAAGTTGTGATGTACAGCTCAAGGAAGTTTTAGAACTGGCAGTCATCATTCCCAAAGCAATGAATTAGAAAATCTATTCTTAGTGATCATAATGAGCATATGTGCAGATGTGCTTTTCTTGGAGGAAAACCTGATGTACTGAAATTGGAATTCACAAAACGGTTATGTTAAGGAATTGCTTTATCAAGTGGTTCTTTGCTTTATGAATGGGGCCTCCTGCAAATTAGGTCATTTTAAAAGCATGCACATGCTTGTTTAAAAACCACTGTCTATTGTGGTGGGGGCCAGGGGGCGATTAAAGATTCATGAAGCCTAAACTCAACATGTCCTTTGTAGTGCATTTGGGCTGCTATTACAAAGTGCCACAGATTGGTGGCTTATAAATGGCAGCAGTCGACTGCTCACTATCTGGAGGTTAGAAGCCCAAGATAGAGGTGCTGGCCTGATCTGGTTCTGAACCCACTTCCTAGTTCACAGTGGTGTCTTTCTTCTGTGTTCCAATATGGCAGAAAGGGTCAGGGGGCTCTGTGGGGGCTCTTTCATAAGGCACCATGAGGGCTTCCCAAAGTCCCCTAAATTGTCCTTTTGGGGATTAGGACTTCAACACATGAATGTTAGGAAGACACAAACATGCAGACCATAGCAATGACTAAAGCCCAATCCATTACCATCTCAAACCCAATCCATTGCCATCTTTCCTTATAGTTTCTACTTGTCCCATCCTCTGCCTTGCCTGCCTCCGTTCAAGTCACCTTTGTTCACTCCGTCACCTGAACCAGAAGACTTGCCCGTCTTCCAGTTCTTTTCTTCTCACTTTGCATAGTCATGAATTGATCCTATTACTTGTGCCTTTTCCGTGTGTCTTAAGTCTTGGAAGGAGATCTTTTGGTTATTTTTCTTTTAGCAGTTCTTTTTCCTGGGAAAGGATTTTTGCAGTGGGTCAGATGCTCCAAACACTTTCTGTGTGTCATCCTGTAATTAATCCTTACAGATCTCTGTATGGTAGGTTTTCCAGATTAGGAATAAAGGGGGAGGGATCAGAGAGGCCAAAGGAGAGATGTGTGACAGATAAGTAACCTCGCGTTCATTGAGCCCCAGTCAGGAGTCTGGCATTCTGCTGGGTGTGTAAGCCATGTTACCTATCTTAGTTCTTACATCCACTCTAGAGGCAGGAGTTATATACACTTTGACTAGTAAGAAGAAGCTGAGTTTAAGGGTTAAAACACATGCTCAAGCTCACACAAGTGGCAGGTGGGAAGTCAGACTTGAGTCAGAGCCAGGATGGGTTCTCACCATTATACCTTTCTTCTTTCACTGGATTCCCTGACAAGAAAACAAATGCTTGAAATTGAAGTCTTTTGATTTCTGTTCTAGTTTCCAAATGCCTTTCTGGTAATGTATCTTGTTAACAAGTTTACCTATCTGACAGGATTATAGAAGACATGTTTTTAATTAGTAGTAATTCTAACAATAGAGGACTCCAAGGCATTTGGGAGTGACTGCTTGCTTTACTTTTGAAAAATAGTTTTTATGTTTTTGCTAAGGAACCTTGCTTCTCCAAAAAGGGCCCAGATAACTTCTCCAGAAATTGCAATTCCTTACCCTGAACAGAATTTCAATGGATTCTCAGTGGGATTTTAAAATATCGGAGTTAAATATATGAGAGCCCAGCGCAAACTGAGTTGCCTGGAAGCTTTCTTTACAAGGTCATGGTGTTGAACACCTGCATAAAACCACTCAGATCCTTAGGGGCATCTGGGTGGCTCAGTTGGTTGAGCGTCCAACTATGGCTCAGGTCATGATCTCATGGTTCGTGGATTCAAGCCCTGCGACGGGCTCTGCGCTGACTGATAGCTCAGAGCCTGGAGCCTGCTTCCGATTCTGTGTCTCTTTCTCTCTCTGCCCCTCCCCTGTTCATTCTCGTCTCTCAAAAATAAGTAATAAAATGTAAAAAAAAAAAAAATGCTCAGATTCTTAGTAGTAGACTTCATAACAGAGCTGGGTACTTATTGATGGTGGAATTTACATAGCATATGTATAGAAAAAAAGTCGATAAATAACAAGAAGTGAGTTAACTCTCAAAAGCGATAAAAAATTGATTATTTGGGGGCGCCTGGTGGCTCAGTCAGTTAAGTGTTCGACTTGGGCTCAGGACATGATCTCACGGTTCATGGGTTCAAGCCCCGTGCCAGGCTCTGTGGTGACAGCTCAGAGCCTGGAGCCTGCTTGGGATTCTGTGTCTCCCTCTGTCTCTGCCCCTCCCCTGCTCATTCTCTGTCCCTGTCTCTCAAAATAAAATAAGACATAAAAATTTTTTTAAAAATTGCTTATTTAGATTTAGTTTAGGATCCTGTGTTAAATGTGTGAAAGAGGGCACACATACAGAAGACATTTTAAAAAAATTTTTGGTTTAATTAAACAACAGAATATTCATTCTTACAGTTCTGGAGGTTGGAAGTCTAAGATCAGGAAGCCAGCATGGTCTGAGGTCTGGTTCTTGGTGAAGGCTGTCTTCTTGGTTTGTAGATGGCCAGTTTCTTGTATCTTCACATGGTGGAGAGAGCAAGCAAGCTCTCTCATGTGTCTTATTTTTCTTTCTTTCTTTAAAAATGAAGTCTGAATGACTCACCAAACCCTCCTAGCTTCAGGTGTATGTCATGGGAGAAGACTCTTGATGGTTTAGAAAAACTGGAGTCAGGGGGCTATTTGCCCCCCTCTTGGGTCAATAATAAGACTCCTGATTTGGGGAGTCCTCAGGTCTGTGCTATCTTTGCCCTTAACTCACCACATAAAGGTGGCCAAGACTCTTAAAAACATTGGTTCTCTATTTCCTGTGGGTAAGCCGAAGTGTTAGACTAAGTCTCTGGGGCCCTTCTTGCTGCATTCCAATGTACACCAAGATTCAAATTTGTAGCGACAGTTCTCTTCAGCTCATGAAGAGAAAGATAATAATTCACTTCTTTCCATATTCATGAAGATTAATGTCATAACAGCGCTCAGTCTTCACATTCGCTCTCTTTATGAATTGCAACCCCAGAGCTTGTGCTGTGCTGGATTCATGGAAAAACAAATGACTTTCATGCATAATGAGGCCCTTATCTTGCTAATCTGTCTTGTAGAAACCAAGTCCCTAAGGTATAGCAATCATTCTTAACTACACATTTGTTTAGATTTTCTGACACGCAACTGTAGTTATTTAAAAAGAGGCTTATGCTTTTATAATTCTGGAATAAGACATTGATTTGTTATTATTACTTTTATTACTTTTCTGGAAATGATTCCATCTATTTGCAAAACCACAGTTGAACCGAATTACCTTAAATAATATAAATAGGTATCATGAATAAAGTAAAAATTCAGCTGCCCCTTACGACCTGCCTTATTTTTTCATAAATTTATGCTTATACGCCAATTAAGATATGAGGTCAAAATGTATTTCATAACCTCAGAAAGAAGTGAAGGAATCGCTGTAGCTCGGAGAGCAAACTGCAAAACAGGAACTCTGACAACTGAGTGCAAGGTTCTCCCTTTCCTCCCTCATTCTGGCTTCCATGCTGGGTCCTTGCTGCTCTCCACGGGAGAGGAAATGAAAGCCCTCAAGCCCCAGGCAGTCCCCTGGAGGCTGTTTCATAGGACATTTCTGAGGAGAACTTGTTTGTGAGCCACAAAATTGGATTCATAACAAAGCAAGTCACTGAGGGGAAAACACAAACTAGAGATTTTTAGGGCAAACTGGTGTCTAAAAATTCTTCAGAGAGAAAACACTTCATGGAGACGGATGAAGCAAGAAGTAGAAGACTGGGCCAGCTGAAAAAAAAAATTTTTTAATGTCTTTTTAAAAAAATTTTTAATGTTTACTCATTTTTGAGAAGGAGAGAGGGAGAGAGAGACAGACAGATAGACAGAACTCGAGCAGGGGAGGGGCAGAAAGAGAGGGAGACACAGAATCCGAAGCAGGTTCCAGGCTCTGAACTGTCAGCACCTGATGGGAGGGCTTGAAATTACAGACTGTGAGATTATGACCTGAGCTAAAGTCAGATGCTTAACTGACTGAGCCACCCAGGAATCCCCTGGTGAAAAATTTTAAGTACATTGTGGCCTTATTCAGTTTTTAAAATAGATTGATTCCTTTAAATAGGAAATAGAAAATATTCTCCTTAGGAAGAAAAGCCATTAGCAATTCCATTTCTGGAAGGCCAAAGCTAGGCAAGATGCTGGTTGGGTTTCCAATCACCAGCCCCTCTGCCCTGCTCCATCAGGGCTCTTCTTTCTCATTCTAGACCCTTTCACATTTCCCCTACTTCTCTGGTTTTCAATTGTACCCTCCATGAACATTAGTAATATTTTACTGTTCATCAAAGAATTCTTCATGTCATTTTTCCTTAAGATTCTGACTACATGTCAGCTATGTTACCTGTCAAGAGAAGGCATTACACTTTAATTGTTTTCTTACGAGTATGACCTGTGGTGTG